AATTTATTGTTATATTTAATCTTAATTATTTATTATTTATGATATTTTAAATTATATATTCTAAATTATAAATCAATACCATAGAATCTAAACAAATTGAATTAACTATGTCAGATTCCAAACAAATTGAATTAACTATATCAGATGATTTAATTTATGAATAAATTTGGTTTATTGAATTTTACATTAGTTTTTTTATTATATAAGTGTTATATGGTGAACAACATTTTTTATTATCAAAAAAATTTTTTTAATGATTATATACTATCTATTTTAAATTAAAGCAAACCCTCCTTGTAATTTAATCTGATTAAAGTGACCTATCACCATGCCTCTTATCATCATTTAGTATTATTTATTTATTATTTTATTAGTATTTTTATATTCAACATTTATATATACTGTTTTAACATTTTTATCATCTATAGACACTATAAATAATAATGAAATAAAAATCTGCATCTCACAGTAAATCTCAATATTTTATTTATAACAATATGCCAACAATGTTATATAATACAATTTCTTCCAATTTGTTTATACTAAATCATAACAATTTCTGCAAATGTATATTTATGCTTTACTCTCAAGACTATCTTTCACTATCATTAAACAATCAAAAATACCTGTAGAATTGAAAGTTTCTTTTATTTTGAGACAAGATATGGAGATTCTGCAAACCTCCAACTGAAACATCGCCAAACATCTTCTTTTGAAGATGCCAATTGATTATGAATTAAATGAATGATTTTTTCTATTACTGGATCAAACATTTTACAAACACCTTCATATTTAATCCTCCCTAATTATATCATCAAATACAGAGAAAAATTTATTGTTAATTGTTTTTTCAAAAATTATATTTTACTTTGTTCCATTTCTTCTTTAATGTCATCATCATTTACAAATCTCATAAGAGCAGGACAAAATTTCACAATGTCCAAATCATTTATTTCTAAAATTTGAGCAATTACCATCAAATCCAAGTTTAACTCTTGGGCAAAGAAATAGAGAATTAAATATTGATAATAATAAATTTTCAATGTGTATGTTTAACTACTTATTGAAAGAAGAAATTATTTGTGGTGATTATTGGATTTTCCATATTACATTGAACCTATTACCTAAGTACAAGACTTACAAGATAACCTACAACAAGGTAAGTCCCAACATCGCAATGTAATTCTTGTTGTGTTTCCGCGATATACTTTAAAAGTATATTACCGGCTCTACTTGCATCTCTGTCAATAATAGATTTGCAAGCAAAGTCCACACACTTAAAACATGTAAGAAAAATGCTAGTCAATAACTTTATGGAATATATTTTGTGACGCAATTGATTTTATATATTAAGAGAGTAGTAAGCAAATGTATATTTTCAAAAACCTTTATATGTAGGAAATAGAGATTTGTATGGTAAAAATTTTAACCATAGCCAACGCTATCATTATTCCGACCAAAATTATTACATTAGATGTAAAAGTAAAAATCTTGTGTATAAACTAGTGTCACTAATAATAATTCTTTGTGAGAAATTCCTTGCTTTATCTCTCTGCATTACTCATTTGATAGATCTAGAAAAAAAGATGCGCGGAAAGCGTTTTAAAGAGCAGTATTTCAAGTTAATTGCCTTTTATTTGCGATTTTATATTCCCAATCAACAGTTTTTTGCCTCAAAATCCTATATTTTTTCAATTGAATTCTCTACCAACGGAAAAACTTTCTTAATTTTTGTCCTAGTATCAACTATCACAGTTGCAACTGCCTTGTGTAAACGCATGGAGTCAGGTGGTTGTACTGACAACAAGTTCAGGATTTTGTTCAAACGTTGGGAAGAGTGAAGAAGCTTGTGCCAATCGAGGTTAAAATGTGTCTAGAAAGATTCCAAAGTTTTGGACAGAGTAGAAATTTAGAACAGCGGGTAAGAATACTGCAATTATGATGATTTTTTGGGATTGCATCCCAATGATTGCATATGTAGAAGCACGTTGGTATCTATCTTATGTGATTGCAAATAACATATTTTTTAACTTTGACTTAGGCAACAATGGCATTCGAAAACATGGTTTCACTTTTAGAGTTAAATGTCATAGTATAATAAACTGATTTTTCATCGTTGAACGGATTTATAATATTAGGTTATTGCTATTACTGCATAAATATCTGCTATAGGATGTAAATACAATACTATATTTCTGATTCCTTGATTATAATTTCTTGGTAAACACGGTATAAAAGTGTGGTAGTACAATTGTATGCATCTTTCTGGTTGCAGTGGCTATCCACCCATTAGTCATTAGAAGCCACACAACACTGCCACACTAAACAACATTATAAAGATCAGTAAAAATTTATTTTTACAAATAATTTTTTCTTCAAAATAATAAATTTTATAAACAATGCCAACGCAATCAACAACTACAACACAAGCAGCGAAACCAACAACAAAAGCAACACGGGCAGCGGAACCATTAACAAAAACAACGATAGTGACAAAACAAACACTTACACCCGAGGAAAAATATGAATTAATTACAAGAAACCTTCAAGAAGTTTTGGGTGAAGAAGAAATGTTAAAAATTCTTAAGGAAAGAGATTTAAAACTTTACTGGGGTACAGCACCGACTGGTAAACCGCATATTGGATATTTTGTACCAATGTCAAAAATTGCTGATTTTTTAACAGCTGGTGTTGAGGTTCGTTGTATTCTTTTTTTTTCCTTTTAATAAAAGGGGATTTAAAAAAAATTCGAATTCGAATTTTAATTTTATTATATTATTATTATTTAATAATTGGGTAAGATAGGTTACGATTTTATTGGCTGACATTCATGCTTTTCTTGATAATATGAAAGCGCCATTAGAACTTGTAAAATTCCGAACAAAATATTATGAGGCGCTTATTAAAACTACTCTTGAATCAATTGGGGTGCCAATTGAAAAATTGAAATTTGTAGTTGGATCAGATTATCAATTGACACCCAAATACAGCATGGATAATTATAAACTTTGTGCGTTAGTTACGGAACATGATGCAAAAAAAGCGGGTGCGGAAGTGGTTAAACAAGTAGAGTCAGCTTGTTTATCAGGTTTACTTTATCCAGGATTGCAAGCATTAGATGAAGAATATTTAGAGGTTGATGCACAATTTGGAGGTGTTGATCAAAGAAAAATATTTGTTTTTGCTGAGAAACATTTACCGCATCTCGGATATAAGAAAAGAATACATTTAATGAATCCGATGGTTCCTGGCTTGGCAGGATCCAAAATGTCATCGTCAGATCCAGATTCCAAGATTGATTTACTTGATGATTTACGTACTATTACTCGTAAGATGAAGAAATCATTTTGTGAAGAAGGCAATATTACAGAGAATGGACCTTTGTCATTTGTAAAATCTGTTTTATTTCCATTGTATTCTCTCAACTTCCAAACACCACAATTTACAATCAAAAGACCAGAAAAATATGGCGGAGATGTTCACTATGCAGATTATCAATCGTTGGAGAATGATTTTCGTGATAAAAAAGTTCATCCCGGAGATTTAAAAGCATCAATTATACAAAATATTAATGCAATATTGGAACCTATTAGAAAGAAATGGGAGAGCGATCCTGAACTTAAAGAATTGGTTAAAAATGCATATCCAGAACCAGCCCCAAAAACTATTGTAAATAAAAAAAAAAAAAAAGTAAAAAAAGTAAATAGTCAAAGTTCTACTTAATAAAGTCCTACTAATGTATCTTATTTATTTCAACTTGGATATTATCAAATAGAATTTTAAAAACTATTTAAAATATCTAATTACTATATTTGTAAATATATCTATAATAAATTATTTATTATTACGGAGCCATCATTTACACTTATTTAATTCAAAAATATCACTACATATGTTTAGGGACGTGTCATATATTAGCTGAGATCCTGAGATTGTGATCAAACAGAACTTTCTCTCAAAATAATTAATATATGTAATTTAAATTTAATAACTGATCCTGAACCGGAGTCCTTGTTTGACCAAACATAAAACTCCTCTATCATTTTAATTCTAATTTTATTGAATCAATTTCACAAAGATTTTTTAATTCTTTCAATTCAATGGATGATGAGACACAATAAATATTCATGCCTTCTTTTTATTCTGACAATAAAATGGTTTTCCAGTGTACGAATTGAGTTATTATAAATAAAATAACGAAAAACAGAAAATAAAATAAACGTAACTTCTTTGAATATTTCACTTAATTTCTGAATCACTTTTCCATTTTTGGATTACTTTGATAGCATCAAGTTTTTTAATGGTTATAAACCAGAAATAAAAGTTTTTGGTGGCAAAAAAAGGCTCCGAGAGTGGGTACGCAGTGAATTTCTATTACTATTTGATTTTTAGTATTAACCGGATTGGATGCCTAATAAAAGCCACGATTTAACGGATTGAGGCTTGGAACGATATTAATAATCGCTAAATCGAGACACAGATCGTCAATTAATAGTTAAATTTAGAGTCGGCTAATTATATATCCACTTACACGATCGACGATGAATTTAATAGTTGAATTCAATCGATTCCACTTATTTGTAATTTATTATTATTAGTGTACTAAAACAACCATAATTAACTTGTTTCTTTTTGGTTTCTTTTTCTACGTTACATAACTACTAACTTTGTAATTCTTGGATTATTTCAGCTGAAAAGTATTTTCTTTTTCTCATATAATTAGGGAAAGTGCATAATTATCGCCCTTATGATAATCACGATCTCTCATGAGAGACATGGAAATATTGCAAATTTACCAAAAGAGTTATAAGACGATAGGACTAAATACTTTTAGCAATTGATCAGAGGAGGTTTGACTGAACTGTAGAAATTGTTAACCTTATTTCTGTCATTATGCATGGAACGTGGCATCCCCATTGTGCTTCAAGCTACCTTGAACAACAACGCACACCTCTAGTAAAACGATTGTTAAAGAAGGATCCATCAATAAGAGAATATCTGCATCCCTGAAAATTCCAGATCGTCCTTAATCTACCTAAACTCGAATTTGTTATAGTAGTAGTTCAGGGTAGGCAACATAGAGAATACGTTCCGCATTTCCACAAGAACTCCTTTTTATCTCTCCGTCTTTCAATAGTGGAGAATTGAATTCATCCTCGTGTAATATTAGACATTACAATAAACATACTCTTTCCGGTGTTAATAATTCACATTTTAAATTTTTTCTTTGATAGTTAAATAGTTTATTTGCGTTCCTTTATCAATTTGAACTTAACAATAAAATAAAATAAAATATAATTAATGAGTAAATAGATTAATCATCCATTATCCTTTATTATTGTTGTTATTATTATTATATCAAATGTTGCAACATACCCACATATTACATAAAAATTATAATCATGATGCAATTCTATTTATATTGTCACACTTTTAAAAACGTTATTATAAAACATTTGATCTTGGTAATGTCCATTACCAGGATGGTTACCATGTGTAAAATATTCTCAGATATCACAATCTTTTGGACCAAGTTTGTTTTTGTTATCGGTAGCAAAAGAAAAATATGAAAAGGAAATGGTTTAAAATGCATAAAACTCAGAAATTGATATAACTATATAGAAAAGTGATCTTTTTATTTGAACATAAATATTTATAACGAATATTACAACATTGCGGTTAGTTGCAACACCATAATTTTACATTATGGTGTTGCAACTTTAATTATAAGTTATTATATATATTAGCAATTATGATTAATGAAATTTAATTCACCTTATTAAAATCAACATTTAAAGGAAGTGAGTTAAATCGAGATTATTTAATGAACTATCATTACTTGTATAACCTTTTAAGCTTTTTGATTTGGCAATTTCATCATCTAATATTCTACTTGTGTGATATGCACCTGGATGTGATATGTGTGCTTGTTGCAAATTACTACCATCATTGCTGCTGGTGCCATCACGTTTTTTAATTTTAGAAAATTTGAACAGCCCTTTTATTATATTGTTATGGTTGCTATTATTTTTCAAATTTTTATTTTTAAGAATTTCTTCTATTTTATTATCAGCAAAATTAAGAAGCTCTTCGATGGTTGGTCTTTTTGATGGATCCACATCCCAACATTTTTGCATCATTTGTGCATAATCGTTAGGCATTCCTGGCAATATTGGTGGTCGTAAGCCTTCACATATATCAAAAATTAAACAATGATTATGAGCTCTATTGTCAAATGGTGGATAGCCTGCAAATATTTCCCACATAAGCATCCCAACACTATAAATGTCTGTTTCTTTTGTGTTCTTTGCATTATTTTTGCCATTAAGTAGCTCAGGTGCAAGATATGATACAATTCCATAGATTTTATTTGATGATTTTTCATCAACTGGTCCACACAATCCCAAATCTGTAATATAACAATAACCTCCTTGCAATAATATGTTACCACTATGTAAATCACAATGAATTGAATTTTTTTCATGTATATCATTTAATGCATCACATAAAGAATTAAATATTGTAATTCTATCCTTTAGTGTTAAATTAGAATGATGTTTTTGTAAATAGTCCCTTAAATTTCCTTCTGAATAATAATTAAGAACCATTGCATAATTTCCATTATCAGGGAATTTGGTTATACCATAGCAAAGAACAATTAATCTTGATTTAATCTTACAATAATTCATTGCCTGTAATTAAATATATAAAATCAATTAGTATTATATATAACACAGTATTATTTATTTTTGTTTTAAAACAACAACTAAGCTTGTTAGCTAAAATTGGCTCTCTTAATAAATGATCATTGTTGGATCGGAAATGACAAAATAGTTGCCAAAATTATATTAAGAATTATTTAATTCAATAGATGAAATGTTGGGTGTCCATTAATATTGTGTAAATCAAAAACAATTTTGGCTAACAAGCTTAATAACAACTACCAACCTCATCAAAAAAGGCTTTTCCTGGATCACTTGAATAATTTAAACTTTTTAATACTACCAGTTGCTTTCCAAAATAACTAAATTCCTTGTTATTTTCATTGTAATTAAATATTCTTCCTCTGATCCATGTAGCAGTATAAATTGAACTAAATCCACCTTCAGTTAACTTTGTTACTTTTTTAAATTGCTCAAAAGGTATCCATTCTAAAATAAAAGTTGGCAAAGATGAGAGAATTTGACATTGTTGAATAAAATTATCAATTATTTTATTTCCAGACGTCCAAGTAGGGAAAAGACTCTGTAATTGCAGACTAATGCAACCTTCACAGAATCTATCAGAGTATTTTATGGATTTACAATTGTTACATTCTTTTTGTCTGCCCAATTTATCCTTTGCATTAAATAATTCAGAATTATAAATCAACCTTTCTTTACAAAATTCTTTTTCATCTTCAGAAAGCTCCTTGTTATTTTTGACTAATGAAAACAAATAATCTTTTCTATTTTCTATATCAGAATTAACTATTGCATTATTAAACATCTCATTCCAAATTTTAAACACAACTTCCCTCCTTTCCGGCAATAATAATTTACCATGAGACATTGTTTAAATTATAAAATGTAAAAAGATATTAATTTGACCTGGTTAATCTATTGAATTTTATTGAATAGTGAAGAAAACAATTTTTTTCTTTGTGGAGAGTTGATTGAATGGCGTGCAATAATAAATAGTTTATTCGATCACTTTTAAATTTTTCTCTATCAGGATTAAATTTCATATTAATATGATACGACATTTATTAAAAGTTACGCAATCACGTATATTGGTGGCTTAGAAAACTAACCGCATTATTATTTTTTTTTTTTTGCTGAGTGAGGTCTGACCAAACATTTTATGATGATCATGCCATTCTTGGAATAGATTAATTGAAAACTAACCGCATTATTTACAACGTGAAAATTTGCGCAATAATTACCAATATCACGTGTTCGTGATTATCAAAGATTCGATAAAATGTTTAATTTAATATTTTCACCTAAAAAATCATTATTTATATATAATGGTATTAAGCGAACATTTCAGCAAACAAAATGTTTAAAAGAAGAAACAAAAAAGACTGTACGTGTCCGTTTTGCACCTAGTCCAACAGGATATCTTCATCTTGGGAGTTTAAGAACAGCACTGTTTAATTATTTATTTGCAAAAAAAAATGATGGTCAATTCATTTTGAGAATTGAAGATACTGATAAAGTAGGCATTGATCGAATTCTATAGATGAAAAAAAAAGTTTAAATTTAACAAAATTTTGTACATTGTTATTTAGACACGTTCTTTTCCAAAAGCTACAGAAAGTTTAATATCTGTATTGTCTTGGACAGGTTTAAATTATGATGAGGGTAAATTTTGAATGTTTTTAAAGTGAGGTTTTTTTTTTGGATCTAATAGTTTCTTTGATTTATAAAGGACCTGGAAAAAATTCCATCTTCGGGCCATTTATTCAAGTATATATCAATCATCATTGTTTATAAAAATAATAAAATTATAATAAAATAATCATAATCATATCATAACCTTTAATATATAGTCTGAACGTACTGAAATTTATAGGGATTATGCAAATAAATTATTAAAAGTAGGTAATAATAATAATTCATTTATTTTCAAATTTTTAAGTAACATATAATGAATAAGTAAACATGTTATTGCTAGGATGACAAAGCTTATAGATGTTTTTGTACATCTGAAAGACTTCACAGTCTTAGTGAAGCTTCACAAAAAGCCGGTAGAGGTGTCGCATATGATCGTCATTGCTTATATTTAAGTCAGGAAGAAATTGATCAAAAACTGGACAACAATATTCCTTTTACAATTAGATTAAAGGTTATTATTATTATCATTATTATTATTATAAAAATTTTGGCTTTTTCTTTTCTGGGATGGATGTTTTTTCTTTAGTCATTTATTCATTCGTTTTTTTCAAATTATTTAATAAGTAAAAAAATACTTGAAATTAGATACCGGAAGGCATTACAATTGTAAAAGATTTAGTTTATGGAAAAATTGAATTTGACGATAAACATATTGATGATGTTATCTTGATGAAGGGTGATGGATATCCTACTTATCATTTTGCAAATGTTGTTGATGACCATTTGATGAAAATTACTCATGTTTTAAGAGGAGAGGTATTAATATATATGAAATAATAGCAGCAGCAATGTTATTATTATTATTATAAATGTAAATTTTATTAAATTTAAAATTTAAATTTTTTAGGAATGGTTACCTTCAACTCCAAAACATATAATACTTTATCAGGCATTTGGATGGGAAATGCCATATTTTGTACATTTACCACTATTGCTCAATGTTAATAAATCTAAACTATCAAAAAGATCAAAGGATGCAAAGGTTGAAGATTATGTGGTAAATAAATAAATACTAAACAAATGAATATTTCAATTTCAATTTTAATTAATATTTTTCCAATTACTAATTTTATTTTTTATTTTTTAATGTTATATATGTGTGTAATTATAAAAGCAACAAGGTTACTTACCTGAAGCGTTAATAAATTTTGTAGCATTTTTGGGTTGGAATCCATCATGTGATAATAAAGAAGTATATACATTGAAAGAATTAATATCAAGTGTTAGTAATTCCTCTAATCCATAAATAAATATGCAATTGTAATAATAAAAATAATAATAACAACAATAATCTTCAAATGCTAAATTAATCACCTCCTAATTTCTAATTAATAAGTTTTCAATAGATAATATAGGACGTTCAGGAGCCATAGTAACCAGAGAGAAACTTGATTGGTTTAATAAACAACATTTACTTATCAAAACAGAATCTAATGATGGATTGAATGAACTTGTTTCAATGTTAAAAAAATTAGTAGATGAGAAATTTGGAAAACAGTAAGAATAAGAAATAATAATGTGGCAATTGGTAATAAGAAAATTAATAATGATACAAATGTATGTAAATACAAAATATATTGTAGATTAAAAGCTAGTAATGAAAAATATAGACTTGAGGACGAGTATCTTTCTAATGTGATTAACACTATCAAGGTAATTAATTAAATTAAAATTAATTGGCATATCAATTAATGAATTATATTATTGTATTAATACACTTCATGTTTATAGGATAGAATACATAACATAAAAGAAATATCAAGTTTGTGTGATTATTTTTTTATCATACCAGATTATTCCTCTTCGGAATCTATAAATATTAGAGCAAAGTTACCAGAAGAGAACTTGAGTAAATTTTTAAATTTGGTGATTTTCCTAAATTGAAAATGATTGTTGTTTATACTAAAATCAAATTTATTTAGAATCAGTGATAAAAATTGCATTGGATGAATTCACATACCTTAAAGAGACTGATTTTCAGATAGAAAATATTAAATCTATAATTAAAAAAATTAGTCAAACTACTGAAATCAAATATATTCAAGTAATGATGACTTTGAGATATATTGTTACAGGAACTTTGGTATTTTTATTTATTTATTATTTTGTTATTATATTATTATCATCATAATAATATATTGTATATAAAATAGGTAGGCGCTGGTGTTGTGGAAACAATTAAAACATTAGGAAAAAATAAAACTTTACAACATATAAATGCTTTGATTCAGGTTTTGGATTCATAATATTTGGGTTTTTTTTTAAAAAAAAAAATTATTAGATTTTATAGTAGTGTAGCTTTTTGGATGAAATAATAATTTTAAAAAGTTTTTCAAAAATAATATGATTCTACTGTATAAATATATAAATAATGAATTTCTTATTTATTGTTCCTATTATTTCTTTTTTCAAGTGCACTGCTAAAATTATCCAAATATTCTTGAATAATTTCAATTTTTCTGGCCACTTCTCTTTTTTTATCACTTGAGATTTCATCAACTTGTGAAGGTGATTCAATAAATTTACCATCATCCAATGGAATCACAAATGGTTTATTTTTCTTATTCAATGGAGTAACTTGTCTACTTGGATTTTCTTGTTCTTTTCCAAAGGAATTAACATCAACATTAATGTTATTATAATTATTAATGTTACTGTTGCTATTATATTTGTTTAACAATGTTAAAGCTGGTGTTGGTGCCAGTATTGGTATTGGTGTTATTGATGATGATGATCCACTTAACCTTGGCATGTACAATATTTCTTGTCATTGATCAACATTATTTCATGATGATAACATAATAATAATAATAAGAACATATATATACATACCTTAAATGTGCTTGTTGATATGAAGAATATTTAATCAAACTGTTATTATTATTGCTTTTATTATTATTATCATCATCTTTATTATTATCATGATAAATTCCTAAATTATTATAATTTCTCATATAATCATGCAAGGATAATTCTCTGATTTCTTTTGGCAATTCATTTATTTCAATTTCAATACTAGATCGAAGGTTTATCATCAATTCTTTTGAAATTTTTTGCAGATTTTGAAACTTTTCATCAACTAATAATAGTAAATAAAAAATAATTTATTATTAAAAATTATTTATAAATAGAGTAATAATAATCATATAGACAAACAAACATTCATTATCCAGATTCTCCAATATTGATTGTTTATCCTTTTCCGTTATTTTAATATTTTTAATATTTTCTAATATATTTTCATCTAAAGTAAATTCGTCCATAAATTCTGTTGTTAGGCCTTCCATCTTTAGTATATTTGTTTTGTTGAAGTTGTCGTTTATCGTTACTAACTAAATATAGAAATTAATTGCAGTTAATCTACATATTTGGTTAGCACCGATAAACTAAAATTTAATTACCGAGTTAAAGGCATTTTTTACGCGTTTTTTTTAATTTTGGTAAAAATTGGTTATGCATATTCCAAATTTAACAACAATAATGAAGATCACAACTCATTAAACAATTTTTTTAAGTTAATATTAATTTTTATTGTCCGAAGGGAAATATTTTAAAAAAAAAAAAAAAAGCAAATCACATGTCAACTTCAATATTTTTAATTATTAGTATTAGGAATTCCTTTTTGATTTTAAATATATATATATGTCATAAATATTGTATGTACATGCACGGTCAATTATGGATTCATTCAGAATGTGTGTAGTCGAGTAATATTTAGTTAGATGCATTGAAGTAATCAGATGAATTGTGTTATTGGCTTGTCACGACAAATAGAAATCATCATTGTTTCCATTTTATTATATTATTATATATTGCTATTTTTATATTTTTATTATTATGTAAGATAAAAAAATGGTTGATTGCGATAATACCTTTTATAGTAGATGCTTTTATTGTTTTTTATTTACTATTACCATTACTATAATTTTGTTTTTTATTTACTATTACTATTACTATTATTATTTATTTGTTTTGAAAAATAAATATAAGCGGCAACATAACTTTCCAGGGTAATTCGTTAAAGAATAATATAAGAAAAGAAATATCAATTGATTAAATAAAATGTTCGATTTACAGAAGAGAGAATATAAAAAAAAGGGGTGAATTTGATCGTTTTTGATTAATTCAATCAATCAATCCATCATCCATCATTACCACAGAAAGTTGTTGGGATTGGCGAATAGCCAACTTCAGCCAAGCCAAAAAAGCTAGAGTCTAAATGGTTTCACCCCCTGACAATATATAACATGAATAAAAGAGGCAAATATTACATCCTTTAATAAGAACTTTATATTTGATAGGGCGAAGGATCTTTAATATTTAAAAAGTTTAAAATATCAATTTAAATATAAATCGATTTTTTTTTCCAATTTCAAATTTCTTTTTGACTTCAAAAAAATAATTCCAATTAAGGATTTCATTTTCAATTATTCCAATTTTATTATTAAATAATAAATACATAAAAAAAAAGTCGAGATTGAGAAAAAATTTGAAAGAAGCCTATTAAGTAAATAAATAAATAAATATATATACACATATATATATTTTTTTATATAAATGGCTGATTTTGTAAATAAAGTTCTTGTTGCATTGAAGGGTAATGGTATGTATGTGTGTATAACAGTGTATATTGTTCTTGTTACAGTTAATTCTTCTTTATATAATATTTGCGTTTGTTTGAATAGATTTGGAAAAAAAAATTTATTCTATAAAAAAATTAGAAGATGAATTATTAGACGAAATACCTTTAGAGGTCAGTAGAAATTCTATATAATAGTTTTTCTTTTTTTTATTAAATATTATTAAAAGAAATCATTAATTTATTTATGTATATTATTAAATGATTCTTTTAATAATAATATTTGTAAAAATATTTATAATTAATTTCAGATCAAAAAAATATCTTTAAAAATATTATAATGTTATTTATATTTATCATTAAATCATAATAATCTTAACCTCATTGATCTCATTTAATTTAATTAGCCACTCAAAATAAATCAACTTGTGTCTGCATTAAAAAATGGTCTTAAAAGTTCACAACATTCTGTTTCTTATGCATCGCTTACATGTATCAGTCCTTTAATATCTTCTATAGCTGTAACAAATACATCATATCTCAAATATGTTGTAACTGCACTTGCTCCTGCAGTAATCGGTAAACTTGGTGATACAAAGAAAAAAATGCAAGAAGCCTCCCTTCAAGTTTTACTGGCAATGTGGAGATTTTCCAATGGTGCTGTTAATAACTTACATACATTAAATGCTTTGGAAACTTGTATAAAAGAGTCTGCTTTTTGCCATAAACAATGGAGAGTTCGTGAGCAGGTAGAAAGAGATTATCGATTAATTAATTAATTAGTTGATCAATTATATGCATATGATTATTAATTTTAAAATATTTCATAAATAGATTTTACAATGGATGGTTGCATGTAAAAGTAGAATACCTAATTTTTCTATTATAGCATGGACGACTAATATAGTAAAATTATTGGATGATTCTAATGAACGAGTCAGAGAAGCTGCAAAAAATAAAATTGTCATACTTTTCAGGTTTGTTTTTATATAAATAGTAATAATAGTAATGTATGTGTAAGCATATATTTACTAAATTTATATTCATTGTTCGCCCCATTATCATATGATTATCACTCATAATAATTATTATAGTGACATGCCTTCAAATGCAAAAATCGATCTAAAACGGGAACTTGAGAAACATTCTATTCGTGCAGGAATTATTGAATTTATTTATTCAAAAGTTATAATTGAACCGTTCGACGACTTATCAAATTCTAGTAGCCCTTATGAAAATTCAACAAACAATACTACTCCAGACTTAGAAAACAATTTTATCGATATTAATAATAATAATAATTGTGATAACAATAACAATTACAATAACAATTACAACAATAATAATCATATTAAGATTAAGAATAATTACAATAATAATAATAATAATAATAGTAATAATAATAATAATATGGTGACTACGGCGAAAAATAAATCAAGATTTAGCCTTAATCTTAACCTTAATAGAAGAGAATCTGTTCTATTTTCCAAAAAATCTAAAATTGTTGATAAACCACAAGTATGAATTATAACATTGATTATTATTATTATTTTTTAAAAAAAGGAATTTTATATTTTGTTTATACATACTAACTAAATTATAGATCGATAATGTTGATGATTTTGAACAAGAATTACAAAAGATTATCCCCATTTTTCAAGGAAAAGAAACAGAGCTAAACTGGTCTTCTAGAGAAAAATATCTTAATCATTTAAAATCTTTGATTAATGATGATCAAGATTTAAAGTATCCAGAAGTTTTTGCTAGTTTCTTGAAAATTATAATGGATGGTGTAATATCATCAGTAAGCATCAAAAAATATTTATTTATCAGTATTTTCTTTACGTATAAATTAAATATATATTTTTTCTTTTATTTTTCTTAGCTCACAAGTCTTCGTACTGCTTTAAATTTAACTACTTGTGAATTTATACAAGATGCATCAGTTTATCTCGGGTCAGCAATTAATCCTTTTGCTGAAACGTTACTAACAAAACTTTTAAAAATGGTCTCATCAACAAAAAAATTAGTATCTCAAGCTTCAGCAAACGCAACCATTTCACTTTTAAAAAATTCTTCATATAATTGTAGGCTTGTCACGCAATTATTATCGACAATGAAAGAAAAAAATGTTCAATTAAGAATTTATAATATCAGTTTTTTAAAAACAGTTATTGAAGCACATTCACACAGAAAAGATTATATTGAAAGAACTGGTGGCGCAGAAGTATTTGAAAAAGCTATTAAAATTGGTTTGGTTGATGCAAGCCCAAAAGTAAGGGAAGGCTGTCGTGAAGTTTTTTGGCTTTTTAATGAATTTTGGTCTCATAGAGGCGATAAGTAAGCTTTTTATTACTTTTATTTCCTTTATTTTTTTTTGATTTTTTAAAATTACTCGTTCACACTATATTTTTTTAATATAAAAAAGGATTATGAAAAATCTTGAACCACAAGTATTAAAACAACTGGGGTGTGACAAATTAAAAGAAGATAATAATAGTTCAGCATCAGCATCAACAGCAATCCCTTCTCAAAAAATGCCACCACAACAATCTTCTTATCGTTCAAATACCCCTTCATCATCACACCGATCCAGTATCGCATCAATTTATCGTCCAACTACACCATCAACGAATCGTCCAACTACAACATACAGACCAACAACACCGTCTTCGAATCGTCCAACTACAACATACAGACCAACAACACCATCTTCGAATCGTCCAACTACAACATACAGACCAACAACACCATCTTCGAATCGTCCAACTACAACTTACAGACCAACAACACCATCTTCGAATCGTCTAACTTATCGTTCGACTACACCATCTCCAAACCGTCCAACTACACCGTCAACTTATCGTTCGACTACACCATCTCCAAACCGTCAAACTACAACATATCGTGCCATCACACCATCTCCCAAAAGGCCTATCATGGCGGCAGCAGCATCCTCATCAACAACAAATATTCCAACAATGACATACAGACCTTCAACGCCGTCTTCACATCGTCCGACACAAATATCAAGACCAGTCACACCTTCTTCAAGATCACAAGCCGATTCGATTGGCTCAGTAAATGGCGGTGGTAGTAATGTTGGAGGGTATCCGAGAAAGTCTAGTATTCCTAGATCAGAAAGTAGTATGAGCAATTATTCTAGTGTAATGTCAGAACAATCAAATACCACCAACAATACAAATTATTATAACAGTAATAATAACGAGGCTATTAAACTTAATAACGATTTATCGTCACCACAACTACCATCTATAATGCCTCGTTCAATAATGCCAGGATCAAATCTTTTAAGGAGAAAATCATTAGCAAATCTAACACCACCATTAAATTGCTCACCTACTAATCCCTACAATGATAATAATAATCGATCGTCACCACCAAGCTCGCCGTTAAAATATTCAACCAGTTTTAATAATCTTAAACGTGTCTCATCATTTTCAAATCTTAATCCAAGATCATCACCGTCATATTATGCAACGGGCGATAATACCAATAATTACAATTATAATAATAAAGATGAAGGATACGAGACCAGTGAAGATAGTATTAATAACAACCATAGGATTATAAATAATAATGTTATTAGGAGTAATGATGATAGAAGAGAATATACAAGGTTTGTAGAAAAAAATGATGGAAACATGCCGTTAAATAGAAGAGACAACTATCAAAGTAATATAGATGATAATAGTTATAATAGTAACAATGGCTACAATAATAGTGTTAGCGTTAATGCTTACTACCAAGAAAATAATTTAAATAAAAACAATTTTCATTCATCGAAGGAACATTTAAGGAGGCAATTTTCATCAAGAGAATTGATGAACAACAATAACAATAATAGTTATAGTATTAATGGTAATAGTAATAACAATTTATATAGGACAGCAAACTATGGAGAAAATCCTAATTATCCTAACAATATTTATAGTGATAATAGGATTAATGAAGAAGACATTAATAATAATATTAATAATAATAATAATAATAGTAATAATAGTAATAATAATAGACATTATAGTCAAGAAAACCTAATTAATAATCAAAGAGACAATTATAATAAACAATTATTACCATCACAAATGGAAAATCCAACAAATTTAGATCGAAGATTATTATTATTAAAAGAATATGATAGTAATAGTAATAATAACAATATAAAATATCATGAAGGTGACAATAATAGTAATAATAATAATAGTAATAATTCAAATATTGAGAAATCATATGCCCCAAGAGAAAATTATAATGATCAAAGAGATAGACAATTGTTACAGAGAAAATTTGCAGAGAAAGGTATGTTACATGATAGGGAGACGTATCATTCTAGAGATAATAACAGCAAAAATGATGATGAGATATTATTCTATAAAGAAAATAATATTAATAACAATTACGATAATAGTAATAATAACAGTAGTAGTGATTATTATAATAATAATAATAATTTGAATCCACCAAAAGAAAATATTATTAAAGATGATGATTTAAAAATACCATCATCACCATTACCAAAAGATCAACCAAAAAAATATTTTTTGGAAGAAGTGAAAGAAGAGCCGGAGGAACAAATAATGAGAATACAAGAGGCAAAAGAAGAAAAAGAAGAAAAAGAAGAATTGGTTAAATATTCTTATCAAAAGCAGAATAAGAGTGATTTTTCTTTGATTGAAAGTAATAAAGAAATATGGAGAAGATCTTTTGAAAATAAATTGGGAAGAATTAATGATGAAGTTGAAGATGAAGATGATGAAAAATTAATTAACTATAAAGAAAAAAATGTTGGTTCATTGGAACAAGAACAAGAAGTCATTACTGTTAATAATAACAATATTATTATTAATAGTAGTATCAGTGGTAGTGATAATGATAATATCAAGTTAAAATTGGAGAATGAGCATATGATCATGTATGATGATAATAATAAGACCCATAACAAAATTAATTCTTCTCAATCTGATATAATGCAAGAAATACAACCAGTAAACATAATTACATCACAGCCATCAAACAATCCAATTGATAATGATTTGAATCAATCATTAACAAATAATGATGATGATAATAATAATAATAACAAGATTAATACTAAATCTGAAAGAAAAGGTTAATAATTATAAATTTGATTTTTTTTTCCTATAAATATAAAAATATTTAAATTTATTTTTTCAAAAAAATCATTAGGACGTACGATTGATTTAGTTTCCATCCAAAAAAAAAAATTATTACTTGTCACATCACTAGCTCGATTGTGTAATTATGATGCTGATGATGTACTTTTCTATCAATTGACTAAATTATCCAATGAAACTAGCGAGTTAAGTAATGAAATTATAGAAGAAATATGGGAATATGGCGAAAGATTTAGAGAAATCGTGAGTGCGTTGATAGCGTATTTAAGCCATTGTAAATCAGTAAGCATTTCAAATAATATTACCATTGGTATTAGTTATATTTTATTTAGCAATTTTTATTGAAAATAATAAATGTTTTTAAAGAACAATTTAGAGTCAAACGAAATGGCTTTGAAATTGCTTGGTCAATTAATTGTCAATCAATCCAATTATGTAAATGGAGAAAAGGATGTTTTAAAAGGTTTATTATACTTTAGAGCTGATTCATTCATTCATGTAAGTAATAATTAACTGATTAATTCATAAATTTTTTTAACAAATAAATCATATTAATGAAATATTTTAATATATTCTATTTAGCTTTGTATTCAGGCTTCACTAATTTTAGATACTTATATTCAAATAGTTGATAGTAATATGACATTATATCTATTGATTGATATTATGGAAACAGATCTTTTCAATAATAGTGACCCTTTTGCAATACCAAACTCTGATAGTAATAATGTTAGTAAGAATGGGTGCTCGTCGTCAAGATATAGTGTCAAAGGATCAACTTTTGTGGTATTAACAAAATTGGTTGAAAAAATAGACAAGAATATTTTGAAAAAACAAATCGGCAGAATTATTCCATTAGCAGTAAAGGTAAAATTTGAAATTTAAATTTTCGTATGCACGTATTCATTAGTTCATTGATTAATTGATTTTAATTCTTTAGGGATTTAATGATTCAAGATCTGAAATTCGTAAATCTGTTGTGGAATCACTTGTAGCAATTTATTCAATTCTTGGAAATGATAATTCAATGTTTCAATATCTTGGGGTTTTAAATAGATTACAACGAAATCTTCTTGCATATTATTTTAGTAAAAGCTTGAAAAAACAACAAAAGCTATTAGCAAAATTAAGTGTATAATTAATTACATCTATTATTATTATTATTATTATTATTATTACTATTACTATTATTATTATTATTATTATTATTATTATTTATTATTATTATTATTATTATTATTTATTATATAATTTAATGTTTATTTAAAAATAATAATGAAAATTATTTTTCATGTAAAAAATTAGAAATCAATAGATAGATAATTTAATTTTTTTTGTAGATAATTAATAGAAAATATAGAAAATAGAAATTTATTATTATGACCATATAGAGAATACATTTTATTATATAATTAAATTTTTTTAATTATATATAATAAAATATATATACAATGAAGACTATTCCTTTATATGCGTTATTATAATTACGATTATCGTTATTATTACATGGAACATGTTCCAGCATAATGAACAAAAAGATACAGGATCAATTTAATGGAATTGGTCAGAATTATAGTAGTGGTTCATTTATCATTATTCGTTTTTCTCATTAACTCAAATTTCTTTGCTTTGACTGCCAAAAATTGAATTTTACTAAAAATCTTCGTTCGTTAAAATTTGATATTTTGATTAAATTTTATTTGTAAATTTTAATTAAAGCTATAAAGAAAATGAAAATGAAATAGCAAATAAGCTAGTATCAAAAAGAAACTGGTTTGCTAATAGTAAAGACATGTATTATTATAATATTTATCTTCATTTTTGCTGTGCAAGGGGTCCATGGGACAAGTAATGATAATAAAATGGAATTTAATGTGATATAACAGGATGATATTTTCAGGAACAATTTAAATCACAATTAGAGTTTCTTAACAGTATTATTATTGTACGTGATTTATTAATTTTAAAATGAATAATTATTATACATTAATTAAATCATATATACATATTTAATAATTCCCTATATTTAAAATTAACAATATATAACTAGAATATCATTTAAGACCTGGATTCTCAGAGGTGGATTATATTTTAAATGTGCAAAAGTATAGTAGTAATATATATATGTTTCTTCCATATTAAAAATTTATAGATTTCATCCATCCATTCTTTATTAATAAACAATTTATATGAGAATTCAATAGAGTATTTACAACATGAACTAATAAATTTAACATTAAAACTTAAATTATAAATAAAATCTGCCATTTTGAATCTTAAAATCAAAAAATGATGCAAATACAAAGCATATAAGATGACTGCTCCAATTTCCTTTGCTTGGATATTATAATTCATGTATCGTAGGATATACCAAACCCGCAGTACAATAATTAGACCCACCTACTACTTAAGAGATAGCAATCTGTTGAAGAATGAAATTTTTTCTGTGTACTTTCTTTCAAAATAAAATGCACATTCTTTTTTTTACAAATTAAAACTATTTCTTCTTTTATTGTTACATTTCATAAAATCAAAATGCATTTGATTTGTCTTTGGTGCTTGAATTTGAAACACACATAGGCAGGTCAATATTGGTATGTAGAGGAACTTTTACATACATATGAGTTGTGTTAACTCTATGTTTTTTTGAATTTTGGCTTTGAAGTTAGTTAACTGTGTGTAATAGTAAAATTAATAAAATAAAACGTGCTTGAGCTGTCTTTAGTGCCTGTGTTTGAAGCAACATAAGTTGATCAATATTGGTATGTAGAACGACCTTTATGTAAGACAAGTTTTGGCACAGTTTTAACTTTGAAGATTAAAAGTGATAAAAGGAGAAAACAAAGAATGCAGAAATTTCTTTTATTGCTGAATCACAATGAATCAATCACCAGAGATAAAATTGTTCTTTAAACAATGCAATTTTAATCTTGTTAGAGAAAATTTTAAATAAACTATTTTATCACCAAGAAGTTTATTATTATAATAAGAAAATTGTTTATTACAAATAATGTAACTGTTATCACTAGAAAGAAAGGGAATTTGTATATAAAATTGATAATGAATGTATCATAATGCAGCAGTTAATTCCGATAGAGAAAGGAGTAAAGATTATTTTTTCATTAGTCAAAAAAAACAAAGAGCTTTCTAAAAATGTTGCAAAGAAAGATTTATTTATAATTTTGAATTAAATAATGCAACATTTAAATTGGGCAAATCAAAAGAATGTAACCAATGTAAATAATCAACAAGGTACTCTGATAGACTCTGTGAAGGTTGTATTAGTTTTACAACTACAAAGTCTTTTCACTACTTGGACATCTCAAGATAACATAATTGATGATTTTATTCAACAATGTCAAATGAAATCAACTTTGCCAACTCATATTTTAGAATGGATATCTTGAAAGAAGTAACAAAGTTGACAGAAGGTGGATTTAGTTCAATTTATATTGCTGCATGGACAAGAGGAAGAATAATTGATTATGATGAAAATAAAAAGGAATTTAGTTATATTTAGGAAGGCAAAAGGTAGTATTTAAAGGTTTAAATGATTCAAGTAATCCAAGAAAAGGCTTTTTTGATGAGGTTGATAGTTGTCATTTATAATAAAACTGTATTATATAATACTAATAGATCTTATATTTATTTTCAGGCAGAGAGTTATTGCAAACTTAAATCATTGATGATTGTTAAATGCCTAAATTCCCAGATAATGAAAATTACACAATGGTTTTAAATTATCATTCAGATGGTTATTTACATTAAACGATAGAATTACAATCTTTATTATCTATGTGTTGCATTATATTTTATACATGAAAGTGATGTTAATCAGCTCCCTTGTGAAAGGGACACATGAAAAGGACTGAGGACGGGAAGGTGTGGCTTCAACCCGTCCCCCGTCCTTTCATGATTAGCCATGAATACTAGAAAAGGACAGGCAATGGTACGAAATAGTACAAAAAAGGGCGGGAAATTAACAAGGGACGGGTGTGGAATAGTGACCGTCCCTCGTTCTTTTCTATTATTCATGGCCTTTTTCACCCGTCCTTCTCAAGATTTCCACGGGTTTGCTGCGTCACTACCACCCGTCCCTGATGTTTTCTTAAAAAAAACGGGCATTAACAATATTTGCAATATTGTATAATAAATATTAATAAAAGTAATGCAAAATAAAAAGGACGGGGGATGGGTTCAAGCCACACCTGCCCCGTCCTTTTCATGTGTCCGATTATATTATATTTTAATTTATTATCTATTATGATTTTTTATTTTATTTTTACATGAGTTTTAGCCTTAATTGCATAATAAAAAAATAAAAATCAAGACTTAGGTAAGGAATAAATAGAGACGGGAAATTATAATAGTCCAATTTTGCAGTCTGTTTACTAAAAATTATATTTATGACAAACACCTTTCGCCTGTCCTTTTCATGCTTTGCCCGCAAATAATAAAAAGGAGCAGTAGGACGGGTGGGAATGGCACAGTAACCCATCCTTTTTTCACCTGTCCTTTTCAAGACTTTCCCATGAATAATAGAAAAGGACAGGAGACGGGCTTCTGCGTCTTCACCACACCACACCACGCCTGTTCATGCTTGAAAACTGAACTAAATTTTTTTATTTGCCAAAATTTGGCAAACTTCTATAATAATAATTCACAAAACCAAACCGCTCCATTCCTACGTATCTGGCCATTAACCCACATCGCCTGTTTCATTTCACCTATTAATATTAAAATAGATATTTGAAAGTCAGATGATGTAATTTGTGGGATGAATGTATTCTTTATTATAATAATATAATTGCAAAAAAGACAGTAACATTCAACACTATCCCTATAAAAAACTTGGCACGGAAAATGTATGGAAAACTGTACGGAATTTGACCTGATACTGAAATTCCATACAAATTCCGTACAGTTTTCCATACATTTCATGCCAAATTTTTTATAGGGTATTATTCATTTAAAAGCTAACTAATTATCAAATTCAGTTAGAAAATGATTCAAAATAATGTAAAAAGTAAAGCTTTATTTTAAATTTTATTTGACAATTTTTAGTAAAATTATAATAAATGATAAAATTTAAAGATGAATTAAAACAGTTATCTCAACCAATAAATTTCGTTTAAGCTGCTATGCTTGAGTTTGAACATGTGTGTTGAAATTTTTTGTTGAAGATTTAGGAAACTGGAGAGACCTTTCCCCAAAAAGATAATCTGTAATCTTTATACTATAGGTAGATGTTTATGTTCCTAAATCTTCAAAAAAGCAGGGACCAACTACACACTCATCTCCAAACATATAAACCCAAAATGACGGTTCATTGATCAGCACAACCAACAGAAGCAAAAGTAATGTTATTATAATACCAGATGAAACAAAATAAAAGTGAATAATTTTTTTCGTTCTTCTTCTTTTTAAAAAGCCATATCCAAAATTAATGTGGCAAATGCATGCTACAAGATTGTTGAATGTCCATATAGTGCACAATGCTGTAAGAAATTTGGATCTACAAAAAAATCCGATTGGAGGATTGAGGTAGGCCATGCCTACTGATATCCATGGTAATATTACCGAGAATAAAGTAGTAAATATAAACTTTCGTTTTTTGTGACTTGGTGAGGGGATGCGAAAATATACCAAATTTTCTTTGTCAACTGAGTTTTCATCCTGTATGGCTAATTCTATGTTTTCCATGTCTTCATTTTCTTCTAACACTCTTATTAAGTGACCCCTTAACTCTATTTTAGGATCCTTGACTACAAGGATCCCTGTCCCAAATGTTCTCCTAACAATCACCGGGATACTCCATAAAAAAGATCCAGTTAAAAAGGACCAATTGCCATTAATACATTGTCCCGCCATACTGGAAATTCCTAAAATTATTCCAACAGTTATATAATATCCAGATGCCAACGAGGACAAACGATCCAACACAGATGAATTTGCTGTGCAGTTTTTAAGAATTTTCTTTTGCTCCGAAGTAATCAGCATATCTTTAACATGAAGGCCAACTGGTTGGAAGTCAAGTATTTCTCCATTTGTTGTAACAAAATATTCTTCTGGGAGCCAATATATACACATTTCCACCGGGTCATCTTTAATGTTAAAGTGATAAAACAGACCTGTGAAAGGAGAACCAAGACACCTAAAAACCCAGGTCAGTTTGACTATCAAAGATCCAAATGGGGCTGTCCCCAATATTAAGATTACAGGAATGAGACCCAACACATACTGCGGCATGGGTTCTTGTAATTTACGAATTACTTCAATTACTGGGTTTTGTGACATTATTATGTTAAAACTTTGACTTCTAATTAAATATTCATTCGCAATTTGAATCGATGAAACAATTAACGAAAGAATATGATGAATTTAATTTAGTAGACGTATTTAACTTTTAAAAGGAGATTTTCGGTCATTTTCATATAGAATTTGTTTAAAAAAGGAATTTTTCGAAAAAAAAGGGGAATTTCAAGTGTTACGAAAATGATCAAGTTGTGTATATAGAGTAGTTAAAGTTAGCGTTAACGTCAACGCCAACGTCAATGTTATCATTTACGTTAATGTAACATCAAGTTAAGTTAAGCGTTGCCAAACTTTTTTTTTAAGCTTTAAGAAAGAAAAGATGTTGGACCAGTAAAAAAAAAAGCTCAAGTTGACTATGAATTACATCCCTTCCGTCCCTTTGATTTATATAATAATAGATAAACTTATTTTTAAATAATTAAAGCCACCGTTAAATGTTTTAACATTTAATTAATTTATAAATTCTTAAAATAGAATTAAGCTTTAGTTTAAGAAATGCCTTCTAAATTCGAGTAATAAAAATGAATCATTACTGCTAATTTTATTTTTTAACAAAATTTCCCCTTGTTGATCACCTCAATGTCACAACACTATAAAATCACATGACCCAAACATTCCTTCTGCAATAGCTGAACTCACTATAATTCAAGAGACAAAAAAAGACTTAGTAAAACAAATAAAAGAAATAAATTATTTGGTTCCTGGAAATACGTTTGATGAGAAAACATATTGGAGAATATACCAAGACAAAAACCAAATCACATTCATTGATATAATAAAAGGAATTA